CGAGTGATAAGCCGCCTTCAATTACAAGCGTATGCAACATTAATGACAAGTAACAGTACCTAATCCCCCCTTCCCTCATCTATCGGCCTATCACCAGCATTCACTGATATTATGCATGCTGGACTGCCTGATTATCCACATTTATCCACATCAACTTTTCTTTTAGATAGATAAATGAAAACCATTGAAAACAAACAAAGAACAGCTGATCAGCTGATGTGCGGTGTTGGCGGGAAACGCTGCTGAGGAGCGCGCGTTGTGATTGGTTGTGCGTAAGGCGCGCCGAAAAATGAACAGACCTGAACGAGATACGCGAAAAAAGCTCTACTGTTTTAGGTGACTTCTCGATTTTTTTCGATTATAATCTCTTGCTGGCTGATAGACGACATCTTCAACTACACGTTTATGCAGCTAACTCAAAACTGTCAAAAATCGAGATACGCACTTATGCACTTTCACCATCGATATAGTAATTTTCTGCCTTTAGCACAGAGCCAAAGTAGTACTGTGCAATTAAAATGTTGAAATAAAATATCGCTCTAATGTAATGAAAGGCCCATTTTTTTGCCATGAAATTGCAATATTTTTAAATCGACCAGTCAATAAATGCCAATTTTAAAGATCAATATGATACGTATTTATGTATCAGAAAAGTAGGAGATTGGCAATGCGAAAGACAAATCATTTGTCTTTCTATCGCAATAAATTTCAATAAAAAGTGGCCCCTCAATTAGTAGATAGGCACCGCATACATAACACTCCAATACAATAGCTATAATTACACTATGCAAATACAATTTATTGCAATCTATGCTACTTGGGAGTAAGCATACATTACCGAAGAAGAGGTGTTAGGAGCTGCCTGGTTCCTCCTGCGTATAGCTTCCAGGTGCGGTGCAGGAGAATGAAAAGGAAAGGTTGAAACAATCAAGATTGAAATATGCCAAGCGAGTGGTTTACCCGGACCAGCAAGTTGCTTTCAAAAGTCACACGAAATCCCCATTTGCCGCTCTGAATATTTCATTCTCAGGCACAAAAGCCTTTTCCTCAACGTCATATTTTGGCAGAGGGCTTTCACAATCGGAAAATAATTCAAGAGGCCGAAGTAATGAGTAATGCGAAACACGCGCATCCGCTCGGCACCTCTCCTGTGAAGTGCACTGAAGCTTAAACCTGTGGAACACTTTCAAATAATGTAAACCACTCAACCTTGAAGCGGGGGATCACTTTGTGCTTGATTCTTCAGACGCGTTCGTGCGCTATTGAAATAAGAAAGTTAAGGAGTAGGTAACCCCCGAGAACAAAACAGGGTCAAAGGAAAGAGGCTCATTCTCCGAATTTTCAAAATCCTCTCGATGAGTTCCAAATCTCTTTTAAAAGATTTCCTGAATTCAGTGCACTGAGAAAAATGGTTCAGATACCTATATGAACCGGATCATAGTGTTCTACATCGGCTGCATTGTTCAGTTCTTGTAACTACTTCGGTTCAAATAACTCAACTTTCATACCAAGTAGAACTGTAAAAATAGTTCTGTAGCATGCACTGAACTCAAGAAAAGGCTCGCCCAACCGAACTTGATCTCGAAATGTGCTGCGCTTAGAATTTGAGCATTTTGTTCGTGTTATTTTACAGCGCAATCGATTTTCTATAAAAAGGTAAAAAGAAACTTAAGAGGAGGAATAAAAATAAAATTGACCGTCTTTGCGTAGCCCTCTGAGGGATGGGTGGATCAACATAATTCTTCTTTTTCCGCGTGATACCACATCGCACAACTACTCCAGACTTAAAATATTTGCGCGCTTCATATCTGAATTTAACGTGAAAAGCCTAGATTTTCCTTCATTTTCGCGTGATACCACTTCACATACTTACTCCGGAGTTCGAATGAGTGCGCGCCTGAGCGCTTGACTTCGCATTCAATGACACGAGCAACGAGCACGATGCCTACATTCTTAAACGTTAATAATATGAGACATGTAAGGTGCCGAGCGATTTTCTCCTATATTCGCGTGGTACCACATAAATCTACAGTTATCTACTCTTATTTAGGGAGTCTGAACAGTTTCGTGCTGTCTCTCTTCGTGCTGAAGGGGTGTCAATCTCAGGGTTACGTAATAGTTTATAATACTGGATCTAAACTTTGTTTTGTAATTTTTTTATATTTATCATTTTCATTTGCACACAGTGGGTATCGTGAGCGAACTGCCATTGTGTCAGAGTCACTTGTCCACGTTCGGCACCAAATATTTGTTGTATGTTCCGAATAATCTTAAGGTGATACTACTATTCGACCACTTAGACACCCAGGTTGCCTAAACGAAAAGTTGAAGGCGGACTGACAGGTTGTCAAAGTTACCTCTGCTCCTCCGTAAAAGCAATTTTATGTGTGTATTCTGAGCAAGCGAACCATTTCACAATGATGCCACTTTTCGACCCTGGGAGAGCTCGTGTTGCCTACACCGAACATTGGAGGCGAACTGCCATGCACTGCGTTCGAATCACCTCTCCACGTCGCTAAAATGATACCTTGTGTATATGTTTCAAATACTTTCATGATGATATCCTATTCGGTCACGTGTGCACCCATGTTGCCTACCCTAAAAGTTGAAGGCGTACTAACATGGCGTTACAGTCGCCTCTTATCGTCTCGTAAAAAGATACTTTTTGTGTATATCCGCGGAGTGAGCGTGCCACTTCACAATGATACCACCATTCGACCAGGAGAGATACTCGTGTTTCCTTCAGAGGAGGAGGAAGAAGAAAAAGTATAAAGAGCAGAAGCATTTGTTTGTGTAATATCATCAATAGCATATAAGTCGTTTCTACATTCAGCCTGAAATATTTGTTCTGACTGGAAAATGTAGTCCAACTGTGAGAAGTGAAACTAGTAACTGCTTGGAAATCGTACTTTTCGAGCGGCTTGAAAATGAAAATAAGGCCGCACTAATGGTCTTGACTCCCCAGTACCCTTTTCCCCGTTTTTTATTTCTATTTCCTTTTTTTGAATAATGTCGCGAGTTTGAGAAGCCGAGTTGACGTTGACGTTCATTGGGAATGGAAGGCGTTAAGCCTCTCCCGAGCGAGGAAACCGATAATGTCTGTTTGCAAACTTTGAAAGCAGGTGAATGCCCCTGCCGCTCATATCCTTCTACAAATAGGAGGGAGCCAGGGACATTCATGCGAGAGTGGACTAAACGGGAACTATAAAAACAAAAACTTTTCGGCAACTGTTGACTAGTCGCGCTGCGGAATGCCCGGCGAATTTCTCTCGCTATCGCTTTTATGGGATCCTTGGGCCTTTTGATTACCGAGCCCGAGTTGTTCAACTCCAACTCTTGTGTACTTTTACAATTCCTCCATTTTGAAGATATCGGGGAGCGAAATTTTTGCGAGGCGCTATGATTAAAACGAACGACGTGCTTAAGCATAGTTGTCACGTTCACGTTGGAAGAATTGGATGAGTTTTTATCCATGGCTAAAGTGTGGGACCACGCATCCTGGTTTCCGACGTTGCAGACTTCCTGCCATTCTTTATTTTTTCCCGTGGAAAACTAGTCAACGCAATTTTTTGATAAGTTCCTTGACTTTTCTATTCAGTCGGAGGAATGATAATCTGTGTTAATTTCAAGCTATAAAGTTGACTTGTTTATCTTCGAAAGAATAAACTGAGAGCAAAGGTTTTGAAACATCCCAATGGAAGTACGTGGTTTTGCACTTTCGCCATCGTTTTGTAGATCGTCAAAGAGTTTGTCTCGGAAAATACTAAAATATAGGAATAATAAGATAAGTCGTATGTAGTTCCAATGCAATTCAGCTAAAGTATATATGAGAATAAGTATATCCTTGCACAGGATCATATAGCGATTTACTTCCGAAAAAACTACTGAATACAGAAAAAAAAAAAAAAAAAAAAAAAAAAAATAAAAAAAATAATTGAAAAACAAAATTAAAACAGACGAATAAAATTTGCAAATCCGATATATTTATTCGTTTTCAGTATGCTTCGTGAGTGGAAATGAATTAAACCAAATGGATGCACACGTCGGATTTGCGAATAATTCCCTCTAGAGTAAATACGCCCGATCGATGGCTCTAAAACTGTGTTCGAAGAGGATTATATGTAAGCACAGTGGCGTTCATAATAGGTATTATGGGACCCGTACCATGCATGCTTTCGGCATTCTGATAGGCGTTTCACATAACCAAGATTTCATGTAGAACACGATTCGCTAAACGCGCGCCAAAACGAATATTACCGAAATCAACTTCTTATTTTTATATTAACGTTCTTAGTTCACATTTACGAGAATTTGGAATTCCTTGCTCACGAGAAAAACAAGGGTGTACTTCAATCAAGTTGTACAACACAAGTTGTACCTACAAATCGAGCAATGTTTCCTGCCCGATTTGCGTCGTTCAAAAAGTTAGCAACGTGCAATAGTTGAAGCGGAATACTGAAATTGAGATTGCTGTCTTTTCATACTGCGCAGACTGTTGAACGGTAACGTTTAGAGCGCAATTTGACTCACGCAGACTTTTGATTTTTCACGAACGGGAGGTTCGAATTTACGCATGGAAAAACATTTAGTGCCTTCCTTTTGTAGTAAGTTTCAATGATTCTTGTTGCGCGAATCGTGTTGTGCGTGAAACTTTGGATGTAGCCCATCTACTGGTCGACGAAGCCCTTTCGGTTAGGAGCCCCGTTATAGTTCTAGGGCGAGCGGCGCGGCGGTTGTACCCCCGAAGCGTGGCGCCGGAAAGCGGTTAGTGGTTATCACGGTGATATTTTAATATTCGGATCGGGAAGCGGGAAGCGAGCGAAAGAGAGGCAGATGTAAGTGATAAAAGTTGAGGGTGGGTCCGGGGGCCTGGCGCGCGCAAGCTCGGCGTCGCGGTGCCGCGCCGGTGGCGTCAAGATCGATGTGACGTCACGGCTCGAACCCGACTCGAGGAGGAGGCAGAGGTGGTCTTGCCTTTTTGGAAAGTTGTTACTGTTCCCGGCTCGGGCTCAGTCTACTTGCGAGTTGCCCCGCGCCCGGCCGTCCGCTCGCTGCCTGCCTCAGTGCCCCGATCCGCGTCGACGCGTCGTGCCATGCCGTTGACCCACCGCCACCGCCTCACCCTTCCCCGCCCGCCATGTCATTCCGATTAGCTCTCCCGCTTTTCCTTCGGGATTTTCCCGTCATTCCCGCCCGCCAATTGAGCCGGAACTAAGTGCGTTAATTAGCCCGGATTCGAGTACGCAACTCCGCGTCGCCAGTGTTCCGGTGTCCAGTGTCCGCCTCGCTGCTGCCCTTTTATGGATCCTGGTGAAAATTCAACGAGAATGCTCCGCTCCGTCGTGGATTAGAGACGACGCGGCTCAATTTCGCCTTGATTTATTTTGTGCTCGTGCGCCGAGTGTTTTCTGTGGCAATTATGTGATGCAAACATGACATCAGAGTGATCTGCTTTTCCTCAGACCCGCATGCTTTTAACCAAGTGCTAAATGATGTATTCTCGGTGTGGAGTGGTGACTGTGTTATGAGTTGATTCGCTCCATGATGCAGCCTTCTATTTTCCAGTCGTCGCTAACATGTAAGTCCCCTTTTTCATTCCATTAGCTTCCGTCCCTTCCTTTCCTCCCCCGTCGGCCTTTTCTCTCGCGGGGCGTCGCGTCTTCGAGACGCTTCCTTTCCCGCCCGCTTTTTTTTTATTATATTCGACCCTTAAACACGAGGGGGAATCTATTTCAATTTCCATGTTTGAAAATTCTCAAGGCGCGCGATACCACCTGGCTCTGAGCATGTGTTTAATCTGGATGGCGGTAGCGGCACGCACTTCACTCAGCGGAGGGCTTGCTCCTTTTTTAAAAGTGTGGATGATCATGACGCCTGAAGATGCATCACATGTTGGAGTATGTAGTATCTTCCCTCCGGCACGACACCGCACAGCGGTGAGCCGTCTCACGTAAAAAAGCAGTAAGCACATTCTGAGATGAACCTCGAGCCACGTAAGAGCATGTGCTCGCTGAGGCTCATACGAAACTGCACTGCGGTGACATTGCTTCGCAGCGAGCGCAAGGACGGGATAAGTTGCTTTGCACCTTTCACTCTCTATGCTCATGGACGACATTAAAACTGATTCACTCATTAGTGGCACATTCTGTTGGCGTATTATGTGAGCTTTTCAGCATCTCAAGTCTATCGGGGATCGGGCGGGATGCAATCTCGAAATCTTTCGAATTGCACCGATGTTTGAAAAAAAAAATTATAAACTATAATAGGAAAGATATAAGAGGAGGAGGTTCATAGGAAAAGTCGTACAAATTTCAAGTTCAGGTGTGTCTATCTGTATGACGTCATCAACGGTACAAAAAACACGAAACATTTTCAAGTCCTAATTTTGGATTAGAGACAAAAATGTCAAATCCATAGTAATTTTACACGAAGGATAGTTATGTCGGCAGTCAGAAGACCAAGTGAAAAAAAAAAAAACATTTAAAAAAATGTTTTCTTGAATAAGACTTCTGAAAGACATGTGGCTATTGTCCATGCCTTAACCCCCCNAATGAATGCGAGTTCAAGTGCCGAAAAAGCAGCGGCTTCAAAAATGTATTAAGACCGCTTAGCTTTTAGCGCTAATCCATCATTAAATAAAAGTTTGCACGGGTGAAAAAATTGAAGCAATGTAGATGCCGACGGCCAATACGTATCAGAAAGGAAAGGATAATAGGGCATTTAATTATCCGGCCAACAAAGATAAATGGAGCCGGGATGAAGCTGGGAAGGGAGTCAGCAACCATGCGCCCTCCCAGGACAGCAAAATATTCCACGCCACGCCACTACGTCTCCGTTAATTTTCTTCGTTGTAAAATTTGCGTCATCTGAACTTGTTGCAATATGCAGTAATGTTGCCAGTACCTTTAATACTCTCAGTAAAACTGGATGATGCTCTCTTTCGTTTAAACCCCATTGTCTTTTGTCCCTATCTATATTCCACGGCCAAATAATCGCGAGACTGTTTAAAAAAGGAGTTTTGACCAATAAATGTTGGTATTTATCCAAGAATGCTTGGGATCAAAGATTATTTTGCCGACCGAGACGATACTTGGTTACTGTGCGAGGAAAGAACTGTTGCATTTCACTCAAGAATCGCGTGTCTTGGGTGCTTAGTAAGTGGGCACGTTGAAGGATTCAATCAATATTTACTCGAGGGAGATTGCTAGCTAAGTTAGCGATGAATGAAAAGTCATTGTTTTAAGAGCCTCTCAGCGCCTCCAATTCAACTTGACGCTTGGATTAAATCCTCAGCGATCAAGCTACGCGCACGCCTGCTCCTCTCAACATATATCAAAAAAACTTTTGAGTAAAGATTCCCTTAAAACCCGAGAGAAAAAAATTAACCAAGAAAAAACTCGAATCGAGTATGTATTATCAAGGCATTTTCTTCTCATCAAAGTTCCCGACATTTATGAAGGGACCAAACGAATTAATGTCTAGATTTAAAAGATTTAGTGTTTTATACTTCTGGGATTTAACCAAAACATCGTTTATCATCCATGCATTTGAAATGAAACAAACGACGCGAAAATTACAAAAATTGCCAACATTTCAGAGTTCAATCTAAACTCTCAAAAAAATCTCCGAAACTTTTGATGTGTCTTATTCTTTTAATTATACTATTGAGGAGTATTGGCAGGTTTTGAAACAACAACAAATCTTAAGATCATTCTCAAGCATCACAAAATTGATCGGAAATGTAAAAAAGATTAGTTAAAAATAAGGATACATAGATATTTCGTTCTTTATTTGAAAAATGAAATTTCTTGAGTGGTCGTAAAAGTAAGGGCTTGACTTGATTTTGATACCCTCCTGGCTTCAAGCTCTGTGTTGATCAATGGCTTTTTACATTTGTATTTAATGGCAGGTGTATTTGTTCGTAAGTAAATAAAATTGCAGAGGTTTAAGAGCGTGCATTCCTGCAGGCTGAACATTGAAACTGATGGACAAAGAAGCAAACGGAAAATGGAACGATTTTATCGGTAGAGGCGGATGGTTGAAATGGAGGAAGGTCTTAAATAGACTAACGGACGGCAACCCTCGAGAAACCTTAGAGTTAGTCCATCATTTTCCCTCTGGATCTATTACAACCACGCGTTTCAACTATTAGCATCCTTTAATTGTCCCTTTGTCTTAATTTTTTATCGCTCTGTCTATCAATTTCAATAATCAGCCTCGATGAACCGGACTGTATTCTGCAATAAGAAATCGCACTTTTTCTAACTTATCCATAAAAGCACAGAGCAATCTGCACAAGAAAACGTAATTTCCAGGATGAGCTAGAGAAAGTAGCTCCATTTTCGAAAATGAAGTCAAACCGTCGTCAGGTCAAGATTAAAACTGAATTCCTCCGCTGTTACCTCCAAAATTCAAAACAGTACAGAGGGGAAACCTTGATAATCTATCAAATTCATAAACGCGATATTCATACGCGTCTTTGCCGATAATGTCTCAACGGATAGAGAAAAAATAATTTTTTCGTCCAATTTTTTGGAACATTATCTCTTGTCCGCGTTTTGTTTTCAATGAATAATAGTAAAACTCCAGTGTATGCGCATATCTTTTCAACGAGGATGTCTAGAGAGCATGGAAACCGGAAAGGAATGATTCAATTCTGACGTGGTTCATTCTGCCGTGCTATGAAAGAACGGCGTACGAGCCTTCAGACCTTGCCAAATTTCCTTCTATAAAACTGAATTTTTGGGAAAATCTGAGAATATTTGTCTTCAAAATTTTTAGTGAACTTTATTCGCTTTAGGATCTAAATCATGTATAAATTTCAAGAAGAAGTATTCAGAACCCTCTTCTTAAAGGAACTCTCTATCGGAGGAGATCTGGCAACTCTGGAATGCTCTCACGGCGTTCTTCCTTAGCATGGCAGCATTGCCTCATTGACGTTCTCGATGAGTTGGTGCTCTTCACGCGCAGCTTGTCAATCGCAGGTGTTTAGTCTAGGCTTCATAGAATAAATATTTTCATGGCAGGAGGCTTAATCGAGTGCGTTTCCGATTTGTTTCAGCGAAAGGATTGATCAGCGAAAATCGCCGAGAGGAAATCGTTTAAATGACCGGAAAACACAACCCTTTTATGTAAATTGGACGCGAGATTTTATGTCAATATCATTGCCCGCGGTTGACCTACTAAACTCACTCGAACAAATGAAACGCCTTCAAAAAGGTTAATTGCCACACGGCAGACGCGCCAAGCTCCCCAACTAATCATGATCAATTTCAGCCGCACTCATGGCTATCCTCTCGTTAACCGTGCCTGTAGTTTCAGATCATCTCCCCATACTTCCTTCCTCATGGCTCTTTTTTTTCTCTTTTTTTCCCCTTTCAAAACAAAGCTAATTTGCAGGGCC